TGAAGGATTAAAAGTCAGTTTTATTATTTGTAGCCTGTGAAAACTGTTCTGAGTACAGTGGCTCTGGAGAAGCTTTGCCAAGTCTGAGAAAATAACTCTTGAAGTTGTTATCAGGGTGATTACAGCTCGAGCCCGGAGAGGTTAGATTTATAGCAGAAAACCCAGTCACAAACTGGCATTGAGGATCATAAAGCACAAGAACATTTACCAGACAGACAGAATGGTCTAACAAAGGGTTTCGTTGATTTAGAGGACAAATGGAATCAAGAGATATTGAAGCTTGATAATATGCACTTAAAGACGAGGAGAAAACCTGGATTTAATCAAACTGATCAAGATACAGATTACCAAATCAACACTATAGTGTTCTCAATAGGACTACATACAGCATAGGCTACTTGTGCAGGTTGTACCAAAATCCACCAAAAACTGAAATATCCTGACATTTGCTTTTAAGTAAATATGACATTTTTAGTATAAACATTTATCCCGTAGACAAAATTAATTGATATTTCATTTTGGCTCAAGTTTTTGTCCGCATGACAACAGATGTCTGTAATTACTTTCTATACGTTTTTGGGGCTTTTATTCTGAAGGCTGGTTTTACTTCTTACCTGCAGCAAACAGATTAAATAAGTAGGAATTCACTGCCTACTAATTGAATGAAAACCACTTTCATCCTCTCTCCACACATCTTAGCACTCGGCTAGAAGATGTAATTTTGTATAGTTTTAGTGCTTAATCTATAGTGGTGCTTTGTATGTTTGTTTTACTTTGTGTGTGTGTTTGGAGGAAAGCAATCATGCTAAGGATGTTGCCATGCTAGCTTAGCAATTAGCTGTTAGCTTGATTATAGCCTTGGTTAATTGGGACCTGTAAAACTTATGATTATGGTAATTTGTTGGATAGCTTATTAAACAGTTCTCAATATTTGTTTAATATCTTCTTGATTTTATTTGTTGATGTGATTTGTATATAGATTGGTTATTGCATTTTTTTATAGGTAAATGTGTCGAATGTTTTAACTACAGGCTACTAACAGAACATCTGTTCAAAGAGTCATCCGTTGCTCTTGCTGAGGATATCACTCAAGATGTAAGTCGAACATTAATTCTCCTTTTATTAAGCTCTGTTTTTGGTCTCCACCAACTCCAAAGGCAGTTACCTGAATCTTTCCCTCCAAAAAAGCTTCTGAAACATTCAACAGATAGCCAGAACTTGTTTCTCTCTGCTGTTTGATGCTAGGATATGTTCAGCTTGATGTTTTTGCTGAAAATAACAAGCCCACTTCTGCGTCTAGGTAAACTTCTGAAGTGCCTCGGTTTCTTTCTGTCAATAGATATGAGTTAAAAGGTGTAAGATCAGAATTCAACAGAGATTACCATACAAAGTATATGTTTATTGCTAGCTGTCATCTACCGTTACACACAAGCACTATCCTTTTGTATACATTACAGATTCCTGAGATGCTCACTGTAAACAGCTTTCACTAGGGGAAGGGTTGTTATTGAGCAAAGATGATCTCCTGCTTAGCTTTAACATGACTCAATGACTGACTCGGTCTGCAACATACATATCTTGTCTCTGAACAAAGCTAATTTCCTTCACTTAAAGGGATTTACTGGGCCTGGGATACACAGTATGTCTTCATTACCTCCACCACAAAAAGCAGCTCAGAAAAGCTTCAGTGATTGGAGAATAGTCATGTTTTTACAGATATCGTTCAAAGAGAGCATGCATTTGTAATATTGATAGAAGGTGCCCTGACTCATTAGGGATCCTGAAAGCCTTGTATGCTTCAAATGCTCTCTTTACGTCTGGATACATATGACATGTAAAGTGGACAGAAGAAGAAAAACACATTAGAATAGATTGCCATGGTGAGTAGGAGAATATAGTATGTCAGGATGATGGAGGAAGGGGAGGAAACTATGTAGAGGTAAAAAAAAAAAAGAAAAGATGAAAACATGGCGAGCAACTTGTACGCTCTCTATACATTGTTAACACTAAGAAAAATAAGCATGGGAGTGGGCCGAGGTGTGTAAGAGGATGAGGAAAGGCGGACAGGGAGATGGGTGGGGTAGGGTATGTAGTAGTGAGGAAATACATAGAAACTAATCAGGGTCTTCCTGAGTCTCAGGCTGAGATATCTGCAGGGCTGAAGACAGGAAGGACTCCTGTAAACTTTCTCATTCACTGGGAGTTCCTGAGATCCCTCTCTGATACACATGCACGTCTTCCTGTTCGTTTAAAGTGTTTCACGTGTCGTCTTTATGTTTGTGTAATTATATTATGTGGAAGGCTCCAACAGGATATATCGTATGTAAAGTAAGTAGCCCATTCTGCATGCTCGCTGATAAAATGAGCTTCATGTTTGTACTTCTTTGTATATACACATTCATAATATTTACACACGGAAATGGAGAAGTATACTGTTGGCTTGTTTCTCAGTGATTGAAGAAAATGGATACACACATGCAGGTGTGTGTGTGTTTGAGTGTGTGTGTGTGTGTGTGTGTGTTTGTGTGGGTGCAGTGACATACTTTGGCAATGATTGTCTCCATGTAACGAATATGGTAGAAAATTGCAGGGTAAAGAACAACGATTTCTTTTTTTAAAAGGCTGAAAAGTAAGTTCAAACAAAGAAAAAAACAAAAGGCAGACAATAATCCAAGATAATATGTGTTACTGTGCTGTATGCAATTAAAGTAACTGCAGGTTTTTTCATGGTTTCTAAGTGTTTGTCACGGTTTTGGCAGCGTGACAAAGTGTTAATACAAGAGGGGTTTAAGATGATGACCGTAGCTAAAAAAATGTGAGAGTTGAGTTGAGTTTTTTTTTTTTTTGAAGGTAAAACTGCATACTGTGTTCTTTCACACGTTTCACAGTGTCTTAAAAACAAACAAACATAGTGACAATGCCCTGCAATGGAGTTCATAATGTTACACAGTCAAGAGACTAATTCCTTCACCGGCTGAGGTCGTGATTGGTCGACCAAACACTGAAATTCAACACAGGAGAATGTTGTTCATTTCCTTTTTCCTACCAATAATATACTTTAGCTTTAAATACATAAACATGGTTATTGCAAAACAAAACATAGAGGTTTATTATTTTTTACCAAGGATGCAAAAGGCCCCCTAAACCTAGCATCAATCTAACAATAGCCGTGATCTTTCCATAAACACTTCCAAATGGTTTTGCACCTACAGCTAACCAAACCTTTACCATAAAAGTGTCGATTGGCTTACTATGACTTACATGGAAAGACAGGACAGTGGATAGTGTCAGAAGCAGAGAGAGAGAGAGATTGGGGAATGACATGCAGGAAACAGGTGGGATTTGAACCTGGGCCGCTCGCTTCGAGGACTACAGCCTCTGTACACATAGGGCGCAAACTGATCAGGGCACTGGCGCCCCTTCATAGCTATCCCAATAAATCAAAAATAACACCAACTAGTGAGAAATTGCTGAGATTCAGATCATCTTACTGCTCAATTATGTGATGATTGCAAAGGGCAGTAGAAAGACAGTCCAGGGTATCACTTTAAAGTGCAGGTAATGTGCTGTTTTTTTTTTTTTACATTATTGCAAATGTCTATACCAGCCCAGTTGGTATTATTCAGTGAGCTCTGGCCTCCCTGGACAATTTTTTTGTGACCACCCTTCCTCTAATAATCCCACAATAATCTTACTGGGATTTCTCACCACCTGTGGGTCCATGGAATTGGCACCACTACTCAGACTATTTGTAACTCTGTACGTCTTATAACGATGTAAGTCACTGGGGGGCTGAATTATTGGGCCTGAATGGTTTGATTATTCAGCTACTGCTCAAAGACAAGCAGCCAAATCAAACCTTCCCACACATTTGTTTCTTTAATATGACAAAATCTGTTTTTTTGTTGTTGTGTCAATCAAAGATGCCATTTATTGAATTAAACTGCATCACAAAGGTTTTATTTCTGCTGCGACTGATGTTAATTGTTGCCATGTTTGCATGGCAATGATATTGTTAATACGGGGAATCATCAGGGCATAGTTCAAGTTAGAACAAGCTATTTGAAAGATTGGCTACTAGTGATGTTAGAATTCAGCCCACTTTCTAGCAGTATTGTTAGCAATGAAGTATGCTGAGCTTTTGATTATGTTTTATGTTTGGAAAGTTGTGATTACCTTTAAAGGTAAGTAGCTCTAGTTCAGGTTATAGGCTGGGCTAAGCTGTAGAAAGCTTAACTTATATTGGAAATGATTTAAAGTGGTTGTTCAACTGGCAGATTAAAAAATGTCCCCGCAGGTGCTTCAGAGATGGTTAGACTTCTATTTCATAAAGTGCATTGAACCTGACTTTCACGTCACCCACAGCTGCTTAAGGAGTGTGGACCCCTGGGAAATATAGTCCTTATACATAGAGTAGAGTGCTAAAGGGGCATTGGATGCAACATTTATCATAAAGTGAAACAAAGAACATTTAAGTTTGCCTGATAAATGCCTCTTCATTTCGTCCCTGAACTATTATTATAGTAACTGATAAGTAGGTTTCTCTTGAGTCTTTGAATTTTATCGTTTACCATGTACATTTCTTTGTGTTAATGATTGCAGAAAAAAACTTCCCCCACATAATAAAGCCAAAAATCTATTTTCATACATGACTCTCCTCCATCACAAATCTGGTCAAATCACTGGCCAGATTTATGATGCACTTTTCCCCATTAACACAGCCCTAATGAAATTATAAAATGTCTTAAATACTACTACACAACATCTCAGTTTACACAGGGTGATTAATAGTGACTGATGTGCATAATCAGCTGTTCCAAACTGAATATTGCACGAAATAACTATTCTGGTCTAATTGTTTAATGCCTGACAGACACAGACATCATCGCTGCAGTTATTTTTACTGCTCAGATTTTCCCATGAACCGCCAGACCAAGCCCCCTCTAACGTAGCATATAAAGTCCTGTGCATGAGTGAACTCCTTACAACGCTCCCTCCCGCCTTCCTCCTCCTCCCTCGCATCCTCCCTCCTCCACCTCCCCGTTTCTGTCTGTCCCGCTCCGCTCAGCAGACTCGGCTGCACGCAATGGAACAGATCTGAACCCGGGTGGTGGAGTCACTTTGAAACGGGACCTCAGACAGCTATAACTGTGGATGCTGCTGGTGAACAGGAAATGCCTTGTGGACTCTCGTTTGCCATTTAGCGATTTTACTTCTCTGGGCAGCTCTTGTTTATCCCAAAAAGCGAGCGGGGAACGAAAGAAGTCTGGGTAACTGAGGCGATACACAGGACATCCATCGCGCATCAGGATGCTCGGTATAAGGCAGCATTTCACTTTGACAGCAGTGGCAGTTGTTGGTGAGTAAGAACTTATGAGAATTGTGGTTATTTGAGGATATTTTACCATAAAATAATGCATGACAGGCGGAAAAGCTGCCGATTTATGCCGCGTCAAGGTCTCCAGCGCGTCTTTGCGCACACGCTTGGCAGCAGCTTACGACTGAATGCATCAATTAGGTGTGTCACTCACGTTGCCTGCACCCTTAATAAGAGGTGGTGGCACCAGTGTCCTTGTAAACTGCCCCTAAATACTTTCCGTCCTCCTTTTGCCCAGATGTTATTTATTCTGACAGAGGTAAACCGCAGAGCACGTAATTGTTTCTACGTGCAGGAGCGTGGTCTTAGAAGCATGGTGTTGCCTCTTAAAACAGACATATTACAGGCGGTCACATTTCTGTATGAGGCTCTTATTGGATCTTGCATGAGAGGGTTTAGACAACAGTTCCAAAGCATACTATAGGCATTGCTGCCTCTATGGAAACATTTCTGCAGTGTCATGTAATCTAATTTCGTCATGTTTCTGCAGAAACTTTGTAATACAGCATGAGTCAGATCCTGTGGCAAAACAAACCATTGAATTAATCTTGAGGGGTTTCATCTGTGATAATTCGATTTTAATTTTAAGAGGGCTTAAAGTGAAATGAATAGTGTCTTTTTCACCAGCTTTAAAAGGCAGTAAGGTTTTGTTTTAGTAACGGATATGGATATGTGTTGGTATTCTGCAGTCCCATTGGTGAGGCTCAGGTTCAGCTCCAAAGCAGCAGTGCTGAATTAACTTCTAGGTCATGTCCAAGTAGTTCAAACATGGTGGAAAGTACCGGTAAAGTTGGGTAAAAAAAAAGACAGAAGACGACGTAAAAGAGCAAAGTAAACAGGGCAAGTCTCTCTAATTCTCAGATTTCTACGCTTACATGTGACGCAGGCTTGTGCTGGTCATTAGAGAATTGAGTTAGAGATGGAGATCAACTTGTGTGTGGCTGTGTGTGTGTGGCTGTGGTGTGTATGTGGACAGGGATCAGCAGAAGCTTGCACAGCAAACCTTCAAGAAGTCAGGTTTACTCCCTGGATCCAGCTAAGTTTAGCTCCTCCAATCAGATTTCTCCTCTCTTCTGCTGATTGTTTGTGAATGACCTTGAACTAGTTAGTGTGCTGTTTTTGTCTCATCCTGCACACTCAGACCATGGCATGTAATGTAGTCTGAGTTGTTGCTGATGTGACCTCAGCTGGGTTACACAGGGGTAGAAGCTATCTGTTTTGAGACTATACTGGGAGATCCCATGTTGTGCTTTGGGAGCTGGCCCTGTCCGCCTCGGAGGCCCACATGTGGTTATTGTAGTGGCAGCATTTAATCCGGGTAAATTCCTTACGGAGATGGGGCTACAGGTGGTTTGAGTTTGGTACTGCGGAGGAGAAGGGGCATCTGGCTTCAATCAGCATGTGTCGGACCAGAGTGACCAAGCTTACTAAGGACGTGAACAGCATGAACACTTAGACTCACTTAGTCTCACTACAGAGCGCTTTAACTTATAATTATGTTCAGTGTTGGTTAACAAGTTTTTGTTTGTGATTAATTGATGAATTGCCAATTTTTAAAGGTGTTCTGACACAGCATATAAAAAATGTCCATCACAGGGCCCAATGACTTTCAGATTTCTTATTTAATTTTAATAATAGTCCAAATAAAACAATTAGTCGGATTGTTCATTTATTAGTTGATCAACAGAAAAATAATCTACATGTGTCAACAATCTATCCTGGCTATAATGGTTCCAGCATCCTAAATACCAGGATTTGCTTATTTTCTCCATCTTGATATTACTGTTAGGTGAAATTAAAAATGTTGGTTTTTGAAGTAAAACTGTAATCTAACATGCCAGACATAGTAAAACATCACTGTGACTGGGAAATAGCAAATGACATGTATTCATTATTACACTGTACATTGTATGTTAGAGCTCCACTGATACTTTGGTCACTTGGTAATATTGATCCAATACAGCTTAATCACTGATATACCCGTATCGGTGTAAATGTTTTCTGACATAAACACAAACAAACACAATTTAATGGTTCTTATAGTGGTTCAGAAACGGTGTTATCCGATATTTGATTCTTGGGTCCGATATTAGGGAGAGAAGAATCCGATACCGATATATTGGCCAGTATCTTTCTTGGATCTATCTTCGATCTGTTAAGATCAATAAATAGATATATACATTTATTGTGTAAAGCAAATACAGTTATCCAACACTTGTGGTAAAGATCAATAATGAAGACAAGATGGTCACTCGACTGGAAAGTAACTGTACATGTATGAGCATCTCCGCCTGACACTCTGGAGAGTGATAATGCTTGTTGTAATCCATATAGCACACTCTGCTGGTGAACTGCTATTGTAATACAATGAAACTCAAATAAAATACTATTTGACTTGTCATTAAATCCAGTAAAATCGGCACATATCTGCGATGAAAGTAGCCGATACTGATAGTCACTGGATATGCTACTATCGGCCGATATTATGGGATGGCCGATTAATCGGTTGGGTTCTAGTGTTATCACAAAGTTTGTCCAGTAGAGTTCTATCAAACACCACAATACTCTCAGCACTGTCTGCAGCACGTATAGCCAAGCATGAGTACCATAGACTGTATACAAACATGGACGTAGTTTCAGTGATGTCACCCATTGGTTTATGAAGCAGACTTTTGAAGCCCTTCAACTGTCATATGTCCAACTAACTTTCAGTCCTAACAGGCAAAGAGCTGGGCAGAGGGAGGCCTTATGACTCCTGACAAACAGCTGCAAGGCTCCCGCCCATTCAACAGCCCAGCCTTGCCCCTTATTATAAATAACTCCTATCTTCCATAAAATCACAACAAATTAGTGTGTGCCACTCAAGAAATAAGCTATGCAGACAAAATCAGCTTTTCTATGCAGGCTGTGAAAAGGTTTTTGGTTTTTCTGCTGTAAATAATTGGCTATTTTGAAAGGCTGTTTGTTACTTCCAGGACTTTTGCAACCATTCTCAAGTGGACATTAAAGAATTGTGGGATTTATTATTACGTTTACCGCTGGATCATAACAGATGGTGGTCTGGACTACACTTGGCTGACTAGTGTTTCTCATATTCTCTAATGAAGTTACCTATTTAAAAAAAACCTTCAGAGAGTCAATCCCTGCAAAATCCAACTAAGTAAATTATGCAGCCTAACACATTTTCTGCCACATTAGTAAAGTTGAGTTTTAACCATCTAAAATCAATATTGGTCTCACTCTCAAAAATCTTATTGTGCAGGCTAGACTTATAATTTAATAAAACAGAGTTTCAATAATGAATGTAACAACCAACAAATGACTGATGTATGAACATCACTGCAACTATTGAATTGATTAGCCTTAGTTTATTATTATTTTTTTTTGATATCCTTTTTTAATCCCTGAGGAAAATTTGGGTTTACACTCTGTTATTTTTAGGGACATGCTTCTCACACACATAGGCCCGAATCACACGCATGCACAAACAGGACCTGTGGACATGCATTGGTGGAGAGATTTCAGAGTCGGGCTGCTACAAGCTGCTAAGCAGAGAGCGCACCAGAGCAGTGTCTGGATTGAGTCTGGATATTGTCAAATAACCTCATGAATTATAAATTGATTAACTTGCAAATACACGAGTTTCTTGACTTCTAGATCCATACTTTTGTATATTAAATGTCTGCTATACAGGAAGTCATGACAACAAATAATTGTTTTGCTTGCTAGTGATACACCATGAAGCTGTTCATGTGAAGTGAATGCATCACAGAGATCACACAAGTTGTTTGAAAAAGGCTAAGGGACAATGTGAAGTTCACATAATGTTTTATCACATTAGATGTGTGTAGATCCGTTTAGCAGCATTTTCTTACAGCCAGGATCAGGATAAAGACATTTAGGGGGAGAAGGGTTTGTCAAACATAAACTGATATGGATTTCTCAGTATTCCATTGAGGACTGGGATGCTTTTTTTTCTTGCATTTTGTCACATCTGACGTTTGGGAATTTGTCTTTTTTTTTCTACTTTTTCATGAGCTGAAGCAGATGACCGTAGCAGATGGTTAATTCGCTAAAAGCGATGAGGTCAAAGGGTGTAAGTCTTCAGACATTAAAGCTCGGAAGGAATTCATGAGCATGAGAAGTGAACCCAGACTTCTCCCTCATTAGCAATATGTCTTGTCTTTGTCCTCCTCCTCTGCTATCTCGGCTATCTGTCATTTGAATCAGCTCACTCCCTGAGTCACAGCAATTAGCACTGATTGGACTTCGACTGACTGCTGGCAGAGACACAAAGATTCACTGCAATGTTTAAGAAATTAAGTTTGATACAGTTAGTTTGTTTGGCATTTTTGATGCTGTAACTTTAGCCTTATTTTGAAAAATCAAGTACAACAACTGGACACACCAAAACATCACACTGAGTCTCTGCAATCACGTTCACGTGACGTAAACGTCTTAATACATACAGTCATTGTCCACGGAGGATTAATCCAACAGACTTTAATTTTGTAACCAAACATTTGCTTTTCTAACAGCTTAACTTCCTCGTGTTAGCTTTATCGTTCATAACAACTGAGCGTGCCGATGTTAGCTTTACCGTATACAGCCACAGATTACAGCGAGCGTAGCTGTAGATTCTTACTGGCCCTCTTCACAAACGACCTCCTGATATTTTCAAGACTATATTGAGATATTCGAGCCCTGAACTATAACAATGTCACGAACAACGTCCTTGAATTGAATGTTCCAGAGTATCTGCCTGCTGTGTTCAAACATCAGCTCACCCTGAATTTACGTGGAATTTTTTTAGGGGGAAGGAAGGAAAAGTCTGTGTCAGTGTGAGCTCACATGCGCAAACATCCTGTTTTTGTGCAAAAAAAGTGTGGTGTCAGTGCTAAAACAGCGAAGGGGGATGTGTAGGGTGGGGTGGGGGGGCACCTTGATGAGAAATGAAAAACATTCCAGGTATTTTGACTGTT